TGAGTATCAGTAATATCTACACTCCCCCCTCACAACATATGCGTTTAATTTGTGAAATATACTTGGATACTTATAACTATAACTTATTTATTCAAATTGCAGGAATGTCTTAAAGACATAAAGACTTGAATGGCCACTAATGTCACGGTGAGTAGGATGAGCCGTGTGGAGAAAAATAAAGGAGGATCCAAATGCAGGCACGCGTGGAGGAGGTTTATTGTAAATATAAAACACAAGTAGAAAACAGCAAACAGAACTAAAGCTAAACTATACTGGGAACAACTAAACACATGAACACGAACAAGGGTGAGCAGAGGCACATGAAGGTTGAGAGCAGGGGGAGACACACACACACACACACAAACACACAAAAGCCTGAGGCCAATATTGCTGCGCTACAGTACAGCAGGATTACGGAGACTAACAAATGGACCAGATACTAGAACCTGAGGAGACACGACTTAAATACACACAGGAGAACACGAGGAAATTGAACACAGCTAGAAGTGATTGATGAGACGAGACAAGAGAGGCAAAACTGAATACACTCACATGAGACACGGACCTACACAATAAAACAGGAAACAAGAAACAACTACACAAAGGCGCAGACCAGACACAGAGACACAAAACCTAAGAACTAATCCCTTAACACAAATAAACAAAAACATAGAATTCTAATAAAAAATCAACATAGCACAAGAGTTAGCCAACCGGTCGCAGCAGATGGCCCCGCCCCTCCCTGAGCCTGGTTCTGCTGGAGGTTTCTTCCTGTTAAAAGGGAGTTTTTCCTTCCCGCTGGGTCGGAAGAATAGACAGGAGGACAGTGGGAATTGCGAACCTGGGCATCTGATCGCTGTTTGTCCTGCACTTCGGAGGAAGCAGCAGCGCAAAGGATCTGAAAGTCCAGCAGGCGTAGGTCTTATTAAGGTTATGTCTCCACCTGAAATGCTTCTCACTTGTGATCTAAATGCTGGAATAGAGTCTTAAAGTTTTAAACCGTTCATCACCAAAGTATATATTGGATTGTGTGGGTCCCCTGCCGAAGACTAAATCCGGACACCAATACATACTTATAGTGATGTGTTCAGCAACAAGATTTCTGGAAGCAATTCCATTACGTATACTGAAAGCTAAAATGGTGAAAAAGGCACTAATCAAGTTTTTCACTACCTTTGGGCTCCCAAAGATTATTCAAACAGACCAAGGAACCAATTTTACTTCAAAGGTATTTGTACAGGTTGTTGATGAGTTGCAGATAAAACATGTAAAATCCAGTCCATACTACCCGGAGAGTCAGGGTGCCTTGGAAAGATTTGATCAAACCTTTAAAACTATGCTGCACAAGAGAGTCGGGTGTTGGTTTGCCATTATTACTGTTTGCCATCAAGGAGGCCACTCAGGAATCCTTGGGGTCCAGCACCACGGATCTGGTGTTTGGACATGTGGTCCGTAGTCCCCTCTGGCTTCTGAAGGAGAATTGGTTGTCAGAGACTTCTGAAAGTCAACATAATGTCCTTGATTATGTTAGCAGACTCTGGGAAATGCTCCACCTTGCATGTCAGTTAGCTCGGGAAAACCTGACGCATGCAAAGAGTACCTCACCTTGTAATGAACAACATGTTGATGTCGTAACAAGACATGGAGCCAGTGCCAAGACAGATGCAACTGTTGTTGTGATTTGGCGCTATATAATACAATTGAACTGAAATAAATTTTAATTAAACATACTGCTCAAAAAAACTGTAAGTAAAAGTTTGAAGAGTCTGACATTCTGATGCCTGATGGCTCCTAAGACCGTCAGTTACTCACCACCAAACTGGTCATGCAAAATCATTTTACAGGCAACGTACTTCACGGCTTTTTCAGATCCTTTCACTTTTGTCACATGTGCTCAGGGTAAACCTGCTCTCATCTGTGAAAAACACGATGCAGTACTAAACGGCCTGTATTTGTATAGCGCTTTACTAGTCCCTAAGGACCCCAAAGGGCTTTACACGTTCACCCATCCACACACTGGTGATGGCAGCTACATTGTAGCCACAGCCACCCTGGGGCGCACTGACAGAGGCGAGGCTGCCGGACACCGGCGCCACCGGGCCCTCTGACCACCACCAGTAGGCAACGGGTGAAGTGTCTTGCCCAAGGACACAAGTTTAAAGACCTTCTACAACCCTGTCTAGCTCTTCTAAAATAACTACCTGGACTACCTGTGCAACCTCTGTAGAGTCAAGGTATGGCCTCATGCTACCAGTAGTGACACAGATCTACCAAATTCCAAAACAAGTTTTTAATTATCGAGCAGTATGTTAGCGAGTGCTGAAATATTTGAGCCTGTATGCTGTAAAACCATGCCACACTAGAAAATGAACAGTTCAAAGAAGTCATTAAAATAGTTACATTTCTCAGGCAGAACATTTCTTCTTATCTGTCTTTTACCAGGCGCTAAAAGCTCTGAAACTCAGTGTGATGTAAAGATCTATATCATTAGCACAAAGGATGTGGTCTAAATATGAATTAGTAAAAAAGAGACAACTGGGCTGATGCATGCTGATATTATTTAAGCTTGAGGTCAAATTTATCATAAATAATAACCATTTTATTTAGATGCTAGAGGCTCTTTATATGGTGCAGCACACGTTATCACAGCGTGTAGACGTGTAAGTGCGTCACTGAAACTCTCAGTTTTACTTATGAGGCTTTCTTAAAGCTGTGTTGTAATTCAGAAAACACAGAAAAAAGCTGGAAAAACATTGTATTTTTTGTCATCTTTAACTTCCACAAACAGTTTCAATTTCTTAATATTCACTGAGAATAGTTGCAGACACAGCAGTTTCATCAAAGATGTTTTTTATACTCAAAAGAAAGTCTTTTAGGTCTGTCCGTGATGCTGAGATTGTCATAGTCCGGACTCCGTGTTTATGTTTGAGGTTTATTAATATTCTGTGGTTTTGTTTATTTTGGCTTATTTGTGATTATTCTCAGTGTTTAGTGTTTTCCATGCCTCCCTTGTTTTTTCTCTAGTGTTTTTGGTTCTATGGTAATGTTTTCTGGTTCACCTCCTCCCAGTCTCATCTAATTAGCATCAGCTGTGTCTTCCCCCTGTGTGCCACTTCCTTGTTTCCTTGTGGGTATATTAGCGTGTGTTTGCCTCTGTTCTTCATCGGAGCTTCTGTAGCTCACCTGTATTTCTTCCGTGTGTCAGTCCTGTTGGTCTTCCTCTGTGTTTTCTCAGCCTCAGTCTCCTCATGTTTCAGGTTTGATTTTCTGTTTGTAGTTTTCCCAGTTTGGTCCACGCCATTCTAGCTTCTGTTTTGTACTTCACCTATAAAACTCACTCCCTGCATCGTCTGCGTGTGGGTCCACACTCTTCATCTCCACATGGTTTCCCTCGCAAACTGTCACAGTACGCTCCGACCATACTATGGACCCAGTGGACTCCGTGTGATATCAGCAGCCCGCACTTTCCTCACGGAGAGGGTGAGGCAGGAGGCTAGGCGTGCCCAGGAGCACGAGTCCTTTGACGGGTCTCGTTTGGCTCTAGGGAGTGTCCCACAGCTTCCAAACCGAGATGGCTACGACCGGTCCGCCAGTGATCCGAGGGGACGCACCTGTTCCTGTTTTCGTTGGAGGCTCAGGTCACTGATTAGCTCAGCCACCTGTTCAACCACCACCTTCATGGCATTAACGTGTGGCACAGAAACTGCACTGTGGCAGAGAGGAAAGCTCTACAGAGGGTGGTTGTCAGGTTTATATTATTGGATTGTCATTCATGCTTAGAGTTGTATAATCAAATTCATGTTGGTAGAGGGTTGATCCTTAATAGCCTGCAAAGACTCTGTTCTGGCATTCACACTCACATCCTGGGGTCACGAGAAGAGGTCGTACCTTCTCTTATTGTTTCATGGTAGGATAAACGTATCTATGTCTGTTTTAGTCTAAGTGCCTTTTGTTTAGATGAACTGCTGGACTTGCAGACCAGCAGGTTTAGGGAAGTCGTTTATGGCTTCACACATTAACTGAATTGTCTTGAACGTTCCAGCGAATAGGTTTGTAGCATAAACCTATCAGTGGTGAAGGCTTCACAGAGTCCAGCGAAGGACCAGCCAACGGCTTGACAGAGGCTCCAAGGATTTCATCCCAATGCCTAATGGCAGTCAGGATACCGTTGCCTGTAGAGTTCTGTGTGTCGCTCCATGGATGCTTCTCCAGACCATCACTGACTCACCACCAGACCAGAATGATGCTACAGGCAGCATAAT